TTTTAGGAGGAATAGACATCGGATATTGGGTCAGGTTAAGGGATGGTTATAAAGATACAGATATAAGAGCCTTGGATCTCTGTAGGTAAGACAGAACATCCAGGCTGGCCCTGTGGCCTAGTCACTAACGGAGCCAGATCTTACATGGGCAACTGTAGTTCGAATCCCAGTCCTGGCAGCAAACATGCCAGGCATGTATGCATCTGTGCCCAAAATAAGACAGGATGGAGAAATGGAGGAGAAAGTATTGCAGTGTGACTGTGCCCCAATGGGTGGCGCTTTCTTTCTTTGTCTGTCTGTCTGTCTGTCTCTCTTTGGTGAATGCACCTATTCTCTGGTAATTAAAAGAAAAAAGACAGAACCTCTGCTGGAAGTCTCTTTTCCTTAAAAGACCATCCATTGATGGGCTTCCCTGGCGGTCCCTCTGTCATGCCGTAGGAGCCACTGGTCTGCCGCGGAGCTCTGCCATAGTCTCTTTTCTAGCAGTGACGTGTGCACTCTCGTGGGTCTGTCCCTGAGGTCCTGTTCTTAAGAGTTGTTCTCCACTCAAACTCAGAGATACTGTTCTGGAACAAGGCTTCTAGCCTTCCCTGTTTGCTTTTCTATATTGGGCAGTTTGGGATAGAAAATATAGAATAAAATCGTTATGGTCCTTCTAATTTCTTTCTTTCTTTCTTTCTTTCTTTCTTTCTTTCTTTCTTTCTTTCTTTCTTTCTTTTTTTTTGGAGAGTTTTTTTCGCTATAGGGCACGTGCACTCACCAGACAGACAGAGAGAGACATAGAGACAGAAAGTGAGAAATCACCCCCCCCAGGGGGGATGGTCACACCACAATCCCTTCTCCTCCATTCTCCTCTCGGGATCTTGGGCACGCACGCATACGCGCCTGGTGTGAGTTTAAGCCACCGGGTCCGGGACGCGAACCACGGTCGACTACGAGGGAGTCCAGCGACATAGCCATTACGCTAACTGCTGGTTCCCTAATTTCTTTTAAACCGAGTTTAGAAGCCTTCCCCAAGTCCAGCCTTGGGCTCTATGAGTGCTGGACTTAATTAATTAAAGATACTTTCAAAGCAGGAAGCATTTTTATCCCTATACTTCTTTATGTACTAAACATTCATCAAATGGTAGAAGACTAGGAATTGGAGAAAATTAATAAAAAAGAAAAAAACTTAGGCCAGAGAAGAGTATCTAGAATCTGAGAATGGAGTTGTTAAACATTGGATTTCCTTCTACTTGCCTGGACTCTCTTCCCCTTCCCTCAGTAGGAAGGTAGCTGCTGTCTGTTAAACTCTGCTTCATATCCCCAGGACATCCTTGTGGAGTGAATGGATGAATATTTAGGATAAAGCAAGTTTCTCCTCCCTCCCCAACTAGAAGCAACTGTCCTAGAAGCAAATTTGTGGCAATGCTCTTAACAAGGGACTGGCCCAGGGACCTTTGCTAGCCTTTGTCTCCTGATTTCTGCCTCTCTTACCCTAAACAGAGGTATAGCACGAGGGGGGAAAGTGAGAGTTTGCCCTCTTAACCACTCTCACTAGCACTGGGTCCTCCAGTATACTTTCCTCCTGACCGATCTGCAGACTTGCTGCTTCTGTCAAGCACTGGGTCAGACACCATTTCTAGAGCCTTTTCTGGGGCCTTGGCTGGAAGTAAGCTGTACTGTATGATATTTTCCATGTTTCCCTTTAAAACAAGGACCAAAATAAGTTGTCATTCTCTTCCCACAGTGTCTACTTCAAGGTCTTACCTTAGTTTTGTTTTTCCTGCTAAAGGGTATGTGTACTCACTGGAGAGAGACAGAGAGAGGGGGGAAAATGAGAAAGCTCCCCCCAGAGGGGATGGCCATGCCACAGTTTCTTTTCCTCCATTCTCCTTTTGGGAATTTTGGCACACATGCACCTGTACCTAGAGTGATTTTGAAGTTGCTGGATCTGGGACTTGAACTGTATAGTTGACCCTGTGAGATGTAGCCACTGTAACCTCCACACCACTTGCTGGCCCCACTTAAACACAGATCTCAGTAAGCAATTGTTGAATTAAGGGCTGAATGAGCACTGAGCATAGTCTATTTGGGATATTTATGGTATCGTATACTTTGGCATGGACACTTATAGTTTAAACATGATACACCAGAGAACGAAATTGTTTTCTATTTTACGTTATACTCTCTCCTATTTTGCTAATTATGTAGCCTTGAGTCCTTCACCGTCTCAGGGGGAAATATTATTTAAAACACTTCTCAAGATATACTTTGAGTCTGGCTGTTAGGAAAGTAAGTGCTTCCATCCATGTGTTCCAGGGGCCTGCAAATGCAGCTGGGGCCTGGGAAGGGTTACAGCTTCCTCCAAGAGCCTAAAATACTGAAGTGCTATTGAAGACGGCCCCACCTGCGCCCCTGTGTGTAAATAGAAGCAGACCCTGATTTGGTGCTGGAATAACATGAAGTTGAAGGCAGACTGGGTGGCCTGGCTGTTGGAGCCAGGATTCCCGTTTCCATTAAGAGCTGGTTATGGACCATTTTGAGTTATTGACTCATTCAGCTCTGCAGAGGGGCCAGAGTAAAAAATATGCATCCAGTTTTGTGAGGCTGAGGATCTAGAGTGGAAATCAACTTGTGTCACTTTGAAACTTGTCACAGAAACAAGTGATTATAGAACAGTGTTGGAACCAGGAGAATAAAAAAGGCCATCGTGTAGTGAGGTGTAATCCGCAGATAGTCTTGTTCTTAAAATCAAGGTTTAAATGTGAAGAGCAGCATGTAGTGGCTCCTAAAATCCCAGTAGTTATCCTTTCCCACTTTATACCAAAGTAGTTCCTGCCCGTTACCTCTTCACAGCAAGGTGCCAGCCTGATCCTTCAGGCGTTGACGAAATCCTGTGTCACAGACATCGGCATAAATCATGTTTCATGCATTTCACCAATAGTTGGCATCTATTTAACTTGTTTTCTAGATAGAACTGTTTAATTAACTTAAAGGCTATTTATTGGAGAATAATATGCATGTAGAAAAATCATAAATGCATAGCTTGTTAGATTTTCACAAGTTTTATTTTTTGTTTTAAAGGGTATATTGAGAATCAACCCAAAGAAGTTTCATGAAGCCTTCATTCCTTCCCCGGTAAGTTCAATAACTTCATAATAAACTAATGTCACATTTAATATTTTAGACATGTGTGGAAACCAAAATCATATATTCTAACTAAAAAATCAGAGTAGTAAAGCAAAATTGAGGATGGGAAAGGATTTGTTTCAAATTGAAATAAACAAAATTTGCCTTTGGTTCACAACCCCTTCTGCCAGCCTTAAAATCAGAGCCAAGTGAAAGGGACGGCGTTTGTTACGAGGTTGTAGAGAGCAGCTGGACCCAGGCAGACTACCCACCAGTTCGTGTAATTGGACACCCTTGCTTTATAGCTTAAAAGGATTTATAGTTTTTTCCACCGATTTAAGTTAATCTTTCCTAAACAAATATGCTATCTACTTTCGATCTACCGCATGAGCTAATCTGCACATCTGTCCAAAAATAATGTGTAATGCTTTTTTATTTTTATTTTTTGGCCAGAGTTTCCCACTTCACTTTCATGCAGGTGATAGGACTTAGTACAAGACTCTGTACCATTGGGGCTTGCTAGCCTTTCTTAAGTTCATGACTCATTTTCAGAGTCTTGCTTTAGTTAAAGCCAGTTCACACTGACATCTTAGGTCTTAGGAGAAGGCTTGATTTTTGATTATGCAAAGCCACAGGAGCAGCCTTCTTAAATTCCTGACCTTGCTCTTCCTGGATGCCATTTATAGTAGAGCTCCAGAATCACCGCTGGTCACAGCAGAGGAAACCATGACGGTACAGCTCTGCTTACAGACAGGAAATGGAAGACGTATATTTCAGTTAACACACGAGGGCATTCAGAAAGCTCATGGAGTAGAATTCAAGTACAATTTTATTTTGACACACAAAAGCCTTGGAAATCCATGTGCTTTTTTCATAATATGCATTTCCGTGAACTTTTGGAAGACCTTGTATTAGGTTGTCCGGAAAGTTATAATGTATTTTTCTATGCAAAAATGTGTCATGACTTTCCCAATGACCCAGTATTATATTATGTTCAATGACAAGCTTGCTGAGAATATAAATTCAGTTATGTACTTCTTAGATATTATTGTTGTTGTTATTAGCTTCAATAGCCTTCAGACCTATTCTCAAGCTCAGTTTAGATCTTTTCTCCTGTCTTCCAGAAGCTGCAGATTCACTTCTGCATCTAAGTTCATTGGACTGGGTTAAACAGATATCACTGATACACTGCATTGTTCACTCTTAGTCCTGTTCTCTTCTCGTGAAAGATCGTGGTATACGTGCTGACCCTGGTACTTGGATAGTAGAAGTCAGGGTCAGCTTTGTGATGGTAGTTAGGCTATTAGAGCGATTCCAGTACATGGTGGGAATGCAGTGTGTGGGACTCTGATTCCAGAGTTTGCTCCCAAAGCGAAAATCTCATAAAGCTATTGTAAAATTTACCTATGAAAATCTCTTAGCAAAGATGCCATGTTGAAGACAGACTGTCTCTCAGTAAGTCCTGCGTAACCTGTGTTTTTTCCATGTTAGAACGATGGTTTCTTCAGTGGCGTATCAGTTGAAGGGGCTCGATTGCGTTAGGAGTCCTTATGTGTGAAAAACATGGATTTTTAAGAGTGAGAATCACATCAAATGTAGTAAGTCCTTGTTCTCCTGAGAGGCATCTTGGGAACAGAGCAGATTTCAGATTGCACATCCATGCACACTGATTGACTGGACTGATGGGGGGGACTACAACACTTGTGTATCCTGCCACTGGCTTTCCTCTTTCCTGAGGTCACAGTGTTGAAGTTCCCTAGATTAGGTTGGTTCCTAACAAGTGTGGAGCATTGGATGAAAGGAGGCTCACGTACCTTATGTTGGATAGTTGTAAGTCAAACTAACCAAGTGTTAAGTAAAATATATCTTCCATGACAAGAAAAGTTTATTCCTTGCCAAATATACCTCCTGGGGCTCTCAAAGTAAAACACAAAGTTAGAATAAAACCATCTGACTTTTGAACAAACCAAGATAAAATGATATAATTGAGATGCCTTGTTATCCTATGGGGGCGAGAGAAGAGGTGAATGCACCAGATGGCTGGATTTTTTTTTTTTAAAGCACAGTTTTATTTTGAATTATATTCATCTAAGAAGCCCTGTAACTTTTTTATGCATCTTATTGTGGGAGATACCTTTTATATAGCCGGGAGTTATTTCTGGTTGAAGGGAGCTCTTCTATTGACGGAGGATGCTCCGACCACTGTGAGCCACGTGGGTTATGCTCTGTCTTCCAGGCCCTGAGTGTGTAGGCAGTTATCCTCAGATGCCTTTAAATTTCACCTAGAGATTTCATTCTCTGTTTTTCTTTCTTTTTCTCCTCCTCCTCTTCTTTCCCCTCCCCTGCCCCCCCCCCTTTTCTGATGGGAAGAGCAACTCTTTTGGAGTCCAAATAAAGAATGGAACTTTTGACCTTAAAAAGTAGTTAGGAGGGATGACTCAAACTTTTAATCTTAAACAGTTCCTATTTTTAGTATCTTTTTTTTTTTAAATAAAAATAATTATTTAATTTTATTTATTATTATTTTAAATTTGCTATAGGATATGTGTGCTCATCAGAGAGAGACAGAGAAAGAGAGGGCAGGTGAGAAAGCAAGCCACCAGGTCCAGGACTCAAACTACGTTAGCCATGTAGGAGTCCAGTGGCTTACCCGCCACGCCATCTGCTGGCCCACAAGTTTAGTATCTTTAAAATAGGAGATCTGTCCATAGATAGAGGCTTCTGAACGAATCACGGGAGAGCAGAGTAGTGACATGGTGGTTGTGGATTTGTGCGTTGTCTGAGGCTTGGCGCAGCCCTGCCTTCCTTGCTTTCTTGGGGTGGGAAGAGGACAGTGCCATCATCCTGCCCTCTCAGGTCTCCGAACTGCAGGGTGGTTGTAGCTGCAGCAGTTAAGGCAGTCTGCTGTCAAAAAGACATTTAGCTGCATGTGTGTTGGCACGGGAGAAAGGGTTAGGATGACCTCCAGCCAGTTTTCCTTTCGTTCAGGGAAGGCTTGAGGGATCTTGTTTATACAGTGCAGAAGGCAGTGGTCGACGCTAGTGTGCCGTGCTCCACTCGTTCACTCTGTGTTTACTAGCTGTCTCCTCGCTTCTCTGAGAAGCTCGTCATGAGGTCAACTACAGTAATTCTTTGTGGCTAACACGGTAGCTGTTCCTCAGGGACTAGGTTGGGCTTGAGTTTGGTGGAGCGGGCAGGCCACAGCTGCTGACCCATGGCTAGATTGGAAATTGAACACAAAAACTGTTCTAAAAGATCTCTAAGGTTTTGTAACTGGAAACTATAAAAATATGCAGAGTGATTAAAATACATTTTTTTTTTTTGGTGATTTTGAAATGCTACTTGTAATGAACTTTTCTTAGTAATCACCTTCATACCATTGAGTGTTAAATCTTAACTATATCAAATGTCTCTATCAGAAACATTTGCGGAGTGACTTTCTAGGCACTTCTGCTATCACCTTCTATAAGAAAAATGATCATTACTTATCTCTCATCTTCTGAAAAGGAACACATAGTATAAACTTTTAGAAAAATGGTGTTTGTTCATGCTTGTTGATGAAACGTTTTGAAAAATCTTTCATTTTCTCATGGAACTTGGCTGCTGAAGCCTGCTCTTCCTTAGTCATATTTTCCAGTTAAGTGTCTTTGCAAAGTAAAATCAGACTTTGGCTGATCAGGCAGACTTGGGCACCTGTTTGAGTTGAGAAGTTGACACCTGGAGAAGTCACAGGGGCCACGCTGCTGATGTGGGTGGTACTGAGGGTGGGCTTGAGGATGACAGTGTCTGCACCTGTGTTCGTTGTCTGGTGTGCACCTTGCTCTGAAGCTGGTGAGCAGTAGAGTGAGAGGCACTTTGGCAATCTCAGGATACGTTTCTTTCCTTCTCCTGCTTGCCTTCTACTTATGTCTCCAGAGAATCAGCTGAGTATGTTCTCTTTGCTACTTTCTTGGGGAGCAATATGATTTTGCTGGTTTCTTTTTTGAAAACCCAAATGCTGAACAAGTTGCTATTCCTGCCCTCCAAGGTTTTTCTTGAGAACTTAGATATTGTTGCTCTTCTGTTCTCTTGCGTGCCTTGAGTTTTTATTAACCTTCCTTGATTCTTATTTTTAAAAATCCATCTAGTATAGAAAGATTAGCGTGTTTTATTTTATTGAAAATAATACAATAGCCTATGAACAACTTACTCTTTTCTCTTTCCAGTTTCGAAAGCATGTAATCTCAGTTTTTGTTTTATGAATTTTTGTTTGTTATTGGCCTACTTGCAGTAGACCCTTTGCTTAGTTGGTGATTTTTTTTTAAAAGACTTTTGCTAAGAAGCGCTTGCTGGAGACAGAGACAGAGACAGAGAGAGTAAGAGAATGGTGATTTTTACTGTTCTCCTGACTTGCTCTTATGCATTCATTACAGTTTTCATTAGTTACAAAGAGACTGAGTTCCCACTAGGTATGTTCCTATTAAGTCAGTGGGCAGATTGTGGAGTCTAAAATATCTAATCTAAACTGAGGGAGTCATTTTTGGTTCCAGGCCTTGGTACTAACTGTTGTTTCATTTCTCTCTCCAACCTAGGATGGTGATCGAGACATTTTTATCGATGGGGTTGTTGCTCGTAACAGAGCCTTAAATGGGGATCTGGTGGTTGTGAAACTTCTTCCTGAGGAGCAGTGGAAGGTAAGCTCAAGTTTCCTTTTATATTCGCAGGGCCTTTTGCATTCCATAGTGCACCAATGGGGCATCAGAAGTGAGGAGTCCCAGAGCCCTCAGGCCCATGGCAGAGCTGTTAAGCAGGCTACTGCATGCTTACACTTAGAAGCCTGGGCAGACATCTGATGGTTTGAGTTGGTTTTCTCGCTCCTTCTCCAGCCATCTAGCTTCTCTGTCAACATGCCTAGCACTGGTTTCTGGTATTCTTTTGGAGAGAGGAGGGACTTGCAGAACCCATTCAGACTTCTTGTATGTGCTTTTCCTGTAGTCTGTGCTGAGAGAACTGGCACGACAAAGCCGGGGTGGGGTGGGGGGTGGTCTTCACACTTTTCTGCTGTCTCTCCTAGAAAACTCAGGCAATACATGTGTCTAGTTCTGTTAGGTCCAGTTTGGTGATAGGGTATCCCTTGGCAGATAGAAATAGTCTGTATGCATTTTTATAGAAACAGGGATTAAGGGGGCCGGCAGGTGGCGTGGTGGTTAAAGGCGCTGGATTCCCACGTGGCCGATCATGGTTCGAGTCCTGGACTTGGCGGGTGCTCTCTTGCTTTCCCTTTCTCTCTTTCTCTGTATCTGTCTGGTCAAATTAATAAGAAAGAAAGAAAGAAATAAAGAAAGAAAGAGAGAGAGAGAGGGAGGGAGGGAGGGAGGGAGGGAGGAAGAAAGAAAGGAAAGAAAGAAAGAAAGAAAGAAAGAAAGAAAGAAAGAAAGAAAGAAAAGAAAAGAAAAGAAAGAAAGAGGGATTAAGTGGTAGAAGTAAAATTTTTTTAGAAGATTTTTGCTATATGGCATGTATGCTTGCTATAGAGAGAGACAGACAGAAAGTGAGAAATCATCCCCCCGCATTGGGGGGTGGTGGAGACGGCCATTCTGCAATCCCATCTTTTCTATTCTCCTCTCAGGATTTTGGGCATGCATGCACACACAACTTGGTGTGAGTTTTAAACCTCGATCTCGGACTCGAACCATGGTTGGCCGTGTGGGAGTGCAGTGATGTAACCACCATGTCATCTGCCGGTCCCACAAGAAAATGTTTAAAATATGAGAATAGTTTGGGTTTCAAGCCTCCATCTTTATCTGTCAATGAAAAGGAAGATGCGTTTTTTTTTTTTTGACTGTTTTAAATAGGATTAAATATCAGATACTAGAATGATTTGTGGTAACAATTTGAATTGGTGACTTGTATGCCAAGTCTGAATTTGTCTTCATGTTGTTTGGTTTATTTGGCTCATTCATCGGTGCTTGAGAATTTGGTGTCTTCTTAGTGAGAAGTGTTATAACGCAGACATTAATGGCACAGGCTTAACCCTAGGCTGTTTGAGTTTGAATCACATCTCTGCCATTTACCTGCATAACTTTGGGCAAGTTGTACAACTTATTTGCCTTAAATGCCTCATCTCTAAAATGGGAATACTCATACTTCTTCATAGGTTTGTCATGAGGATAAAATGAGAATACCTGTAGAAATCTTTGATGCCTAAAAAATCTTAGAGCAGCAGAAGCTCAGGCAATGTTATTCTTGAGCATAGGAAGCTGGATCCCACATGACCTACCAGGGTTCAAGACCCATCCCTGGTAGTTACGAAAACATGTTGAGCGTGTGCATGCCCAAGATTCTGATAGGATGGAGAACTGAAAGAAAAAGGATTGTAGTGTTACCAGGCCCATTTGGGTGGTTATATGCATGCTTGCATGCTTTCTCACTCTCTGTCTCTCTCTCTCTCTTGCATGTCAACATTCTCTCATGTGTACACATGAAAAGCAATGTTCTTATTATTAGCTTTTTTAGATAAGATCGGATGTGAACACAACACTTTATCTCGGAACTTTGTTGAAGCACAAATTAACTTTCCTTTTCTCTGACAGGGCTAGAGTAATTGAGTTACAGCTAGACGCCAGGTACTCATAGGTTGCAGGAGACTGAGTAATTAATGTTCAGGATAGACATAGTTCCTGTCCTCATGGAGCTTACAGTCTGGTGGGGATCACAGGTAGAGAGAGATAGATATAGCATACTTACACAGATTTAAGTATAATTTTAATTAGTGCTGTGAAGTATGGTTTGTTTGTTTGTTTGTTTATTTATTTATTTATTTATTTTGGAGAGAGATTTTTGTTATAGGGCACATGTACTTGCCAGAGAGACAGACAGAAAGTGAGAAATCACCTCCCAGGGGAATGGCCACACCACAATCCCATCTCCTCCATTTTCCTGTCAGGATTTTGGGCACGCACACACAGTGTACCTAGTGTGAGTTTCAAGCTGCTGGATCCAGGGCTCGAACCACAGTTGACTACATGGGAGTCCAGCAACATAACTATTATGCCATCTGCTAGTCCCAAGTATAGTTTTTTTTTTTTTTTATTCTTTCCCATGTCTCCTATTTTTTTTTTTTTTTTTTTTTTTTTTTTATGGGAGGGAACTTCCTTAGTCCTTATTGACCTCCTCCTATCACTAGTTGCTATCGATTTTGGATATAGTGCTTCCTGAATTCCTTGAAAGCACAATAAGGGTTGGCTCTAGGTCCTAGGAAGATAGGTTAACTTAGGTCATTCCCATTTTCTCAAAAGCACCATCTAGCCCAGCATTGACCAGGTCCAAGAGAACAAGAGGAGCACAGTAGGCCCTGATCAAACCGAAAGACGCATTCATAAAGGTCATTGGAGGGAGTGAAGGAGTGGAATTCTGATGGCTTCTTTTGACTTAAGGGGTGAGAAGAGTAGAACAGGAAGTAACACAAAAGTGGGTGATAAGCTAGGTGGGCCTGGCACTCAGCGGAGCAGGTGTGAGGTGTTGACTGGTTGAGGAGTGGGAATGGAGCTCATACAGCAGGGTGCCGGTCAGTCTCTGTGCACATGGTGACTTAAAAGAATAAGGCTGATTTGCTTGGCATCCTTCTTGCTCTTGGCCCCAGGCAGATTGTCAGAATAAACATACCTATGAATGAATGAATCTGTTGCATTTTTCCCTATGTTGCTCACTCCCTTTGTTGGTAAGACCAGCAAGCACAAGCTTTCCTGGTATTGTCAGAAGTGCTCTTGCTTTAGGCAAGAAGCCTTAGAAGACAGGGTGGGTTTTTGACCAATGCTTGGGGGTAGGATGAGAGCAAAGGTGCTTGTTGCAGAGGTGCAGATAGAGGTCTAGAAGGACAAGTTTATGATTTGGGCATTCCT